AGAGAGAGAGAGAGAGAGAGAGAGAGAGAGAGAGAGAGAGAGAGAGAGAGAGAGAGAGAGAGAGAGAGAGAGGTAGTCAAGGAAAAGAAAAGACAGGATATTGAGGGGGAAATAAAAGGGGGTAGAATTTGAAAGAGGGTGAAAAGGGCAGGGGGCGAAGAAACGAGGGAGCKAAGCTGCAGGAGACGGGAGGGGAGGGAGGACAAAAGTTTCTGCAGAGGGAGGTGGAGGAGGAGCGGGGATCAATTCCCAACATCTGAGAACACTCAAAACCTCACAGCAGACGTGAACACACAGACAGGAAATAAACATTTTTAAAACGTAGAGCTGGAGCTCTGTCACTATCTTTGTTTTTTKGCTTGGGGAAAGGGAAGATAATGTTCTTTTTTTATGCCTCGTGATGTGACAGCACACTCAAATTTCCAACCTGGCGCAGTAAAAGCTGCATGTCTGAAGGCTGGATGATGAGTCCGCTTTCTTTTCTGAATCAATAGTGAATCGTAAATGCTGTCCTCCACCGTCAGGTCCTGAAGACCCTGAGCTCACAACACATAAATCTCACCAAACTGCTTCCCTCGCCCTCCTTTGTGTCTACTCACGCTTGCAACTTGACATGGAAAACACTAACTTACAAGCGCTTTTAGCAAATTAGGTCAGTCTCATGTCCTCTGTTTTCAATGTTTGTCTCTCCTTCCTGAGACAACCAAGCCCTCCTCTCTCTCTCACTGCTCCTTGACTTACACAATACGTCTCTGATTTTGGCAAAACAGTCTGATTTAGTCCCGGTTCCAGCACACGTGCGCTTCATACAAGYCTCTTCCCTCAGGGGGGTTGTAAGGTGGTGCTGAATGTCGAGCTCTTCTTCAGCCAGATGAACAGAAAACGTGTTTTGAAGCCCAGCTAGTACTGCTAGGCCGGTCAGAGCAGCCTGCACAGATGGGGTCCTCAGAGGTTACTTGAGTCATAAAGTGAAGAGAAAGATGTGAGTTCATGCAAATACTATTTGTTAAACTTTTAAGCTAACACCAGTGTTCCATTCTGTAATCATTTACACAAAGAATCCTGTGGTTGTTTGCAAGAGCAAACAGCATCTAACTGCATGTAGCTGGAAAAGTTTGGGGGTGTAACCTGGAACACTTCCACCAGAAATATATYTCTGTTGGAATAAATGCATAACTTGAAATTAACAAGAATTCAAAATTTTATAAAACTGCGTTCACATTTCTAGAAACGCACAAAAACTCCTCAACTCCTCCAAAAACACAATCTCTTTGAAATCTGTTTCAGCTGGTTAGCTCTAATATTTTCTCTTTGTGCACCTTTAGCTTTTAGCTAGGCTTTTGCTACTATTAACTTTTATCTAGCTTTTAGCTGTTTTTGACTTGTAGCTATTATCCTGCTACTTTTAGCTAGCCTATTGCTTCTTTTAGCTAGCATATTGCTTCTTTTATCTTGTATTCTTTTAGCTAGCCTATTGCTTCTTTAAGCTTGTGTTCTTTTAGCTAGCCTTTTGCTACTTTTAGCTTGTATTCTTTTAGCTAGCCTTTTGCTACTTTTAGCTTGTATTCTTTTAGCTAGCCTATTGCTACTTTTAGCTTGTGTTCTTTTAGCTAGGTCACTACTTCTGGCTTTTTTTTTACTTTTATCTTTTAGCTAGACTTTTGCTATTTTTAGTTACTTTCCTGATACTTTTAGCTATCCTATCACTACTTCTAACATTTATTTAACTTTTATCCTTAGCTAACCTTTTGCTACTTTTCTGTACTATCCTGCTACTTTTAGCTTTCATTTAATTTTAATCTTTGAGCTTTTTTATCTTTAAATATATAGTGACTATCTTACTTTTAGTAAATCTTTTGCTAGTTTCAGTTTCCATTATGCTTAGCTTTTAGCTAATCTTCTGCAGCTTTTACCTTTCGTCTAGCGTTTATCTACCATTTTGCTACCTTTAGCTTCTAGCTGCCATTTTACTTCTGGTTGCTCTGAATATCCTTTTAATACTTGTAGTTTCAAGCTAGTCTATAGCTTTTAGCTGATCTTATACTGTATTTAGCTTTTATCTAGACTTTTGATCATTTTAGCTTTTAGCTATCTATGTCTTTTACCCTTTAGTTGGTGTTTTGTTTCCTTTAGCTGTAGTAAATCTTAGCAAAGTAATTTAACACTGACGCTACAGAAAATGCAGTTTCTGTAGTTTTTTTTTATAACCTTTCCACAAAGCATCACTTCTAAATACTGGAACTAACCCTTTAACATGAAAGAGTTTGTGCAGAACTTTGTGCAAAAGTCTTCAATCATCCTTCATTTCTTTCGAATTTGCTTATAAGAGAGCAGACTTTCTTAGTGCTTTTCCTTAAAGTTGTTTTCTACATTTTGAAGCTTATCTTTTGACCAGGGGCTGCTTTTTTATTAGACTCGCACAGAATTTTGCTGACTCAATYCACAACTTTAATTTTGAAAGGACAGCTTGGTTGTTACTGGCATTTTGATTCCAATCCAGTCCCTTAAAAAAAACAACAAAGATCTTTGTCTTTTTATGAGGATGCCCTACAACAATCATAACTGTATGCCCAACTTTAACCCAAAACAAACTCCTGACCCCACAAGRTCAGTTTAAACTTGAGGTGCAGTTTTCAGACCACACAAGCAACTTAAAAAAAGAAGATTCACCTCCTCACCCATCAAACTGGACACACCGGATGCAGCTGCGCTTCGTGAGGCTCAGGGCTGCAGCAGCAGGGGTCGCTTCRGTTATTCAACATTTCATTTAGGCTCACAGTCGTGGCCAATAAAGTTGGACACAGGTTCCTGGGAACATTCAGTCCAACAGCAGCACACTTGGCTGGAAATATGTGTGAAAATGTGAATTGTTGGAGGGTGAATGAGGGGGTTTAAGTTTATGTGAAGCAGCTGAACTGCTCCAGATTTCACGAGGGCTGCAACAAAAGAAGTTTACAACAAATGACTCAGTCAGACGCTGGATGACTCAGTCCTCGTGAGCGAGTCAAATTGTTTTCCAATGAGTTGTGAAACAAATGTCGTTTTAGGATTAATCAAAAACYAATTTGGTGGCAGTGAATGAGGGTGAAGAAACGCAAAACATGTATTTACAAGTTTATTCTGCAACAAATGGCTGAATCTTTTGTAATTTTTGCATTTAAGTTGTTGTGTTCTTACAGTTACTCCAATTATTAGTTAAAATTTTGGACAGGAAGCTAATAAAATGTAATAAATACTAACAAAATTTTTAGGGAAACCAATAACTCTGTCAGTTTTAAAGATTTTAAGCTGAAAATGTGGTGGTGGTAGTAGTTGAGACTCCTCCACAACACAGACTCTGAGCACTAAAAGCTCATTCAAAAGCTTTGTTTAAAACATGGGCAAAGCCAGCGATTGCTCTGTTTCGTTGTCTATCGTTCTGTTTAGATTGCAACTGTTGCGTCTTGTGTTTTCCTCACTTCCCTGATYGCCATCTTCCAAACATAATCAGATCTTCTGCTCTTTATTCAGTCGGTCGGCTCGCTCCATTAACATTATGAAGACACGAGTTAATGTGCTCGGCTCACTTCATTTCCCCCGCTTTTCACCAGAGACCTGGCAAGGCCCGACTTTCCCCGGCGACGTTCTGAATAATGGCTCCTTTTGTATCGTTAGAAATCCCTGTCAGTGGTTCTGAACGACCACGGGACAGACAGAACCACGAAGAGAGGGAAGATCTTTATGTCTGAACAGGATAGAGTGTGGAATGTGTGTTGTGCTTTTTACCGTCGATCTGAGCCCATTTCCCTCAACTCGGATCTTTTGAAAACAGCCCAATAAAGGCTTATCTTTAATGTGAGAGTCTGTTCGATTCCCTGGACTCTGGAATATTACTTATAATGCTGCTGGACTTTAATATTTCACATCAGTGGAAAAAAGAAACAGCATGTGAAAACCTTGTGGTGGACTTTTGAATGGGTTTTATTAGGTTTTTGGGGTCTCCATGTTTCTAAGATGCCATGGAGTCATGATGGGGAGCTGTCCTACATTATGACCCACTGCCAGTCAACTGTGTGATGGAGCTGTCACATCAATGAGGTCAGCAACCCCCCCTATTTCCCTCTGCATGACTGAAACTGGTACAGTTGTAGAGGAATAAACACCATTATGTTGCAGTAGCTACTGATGTAACACCTCATCAATTAATTAGAGACACTATCCGAGGCAATAAACTGCCACTCAAGTTTTGATCGGACAGATATGCTTCTCAGTAGTAAATCTGACTGATCAGTTTTTTATACTGACTACATTAATGGGCCAGAATGATGCATTTTTACATGTTTAGGCTGAGTTATTTAAGATAAGTTATTTGTTTTGTGATGATCTGCATCTTCATTTGATATTGCTCTGCAACATTTGTGCCAAAAACCTGACGATGCAGCCCCAAGAACCTATTCCATACCTGACCCCTGGTAGAATTATTATTGCACAGGGTATGCACCAAGTATTGGATGATTGGTCAGAACTTTGTCGTGTTTGAGGATCAGAAGACCGAGGTTGTTAGAAAATRCAGCCATTTTTTGCTACAGTTCCAGCAAAACTCATAAAGATAGTTAAGTAACTTGGGCACAGAGAAAACAGCATGGAGACGCCGATGGCTGTCCACAGCTGTGCTGATTGGGAGGGACATATTCCCACACCTTCTGTCATRAACAGTGGCACGAAATATTACTAAATTTCTTTCAGTGTAACRTCAAAGAAGAATGTCTCACAAGGACGTCAGTGAGATTGGACGTCTTACATCTTGTGAAGTAAAAAACCAGGCTTAAAACGCTGCAAGGTAGTTTGCATATTTTGCTTTTTTTTTTGTAATTAGTCCCAAACAGTGAGAAATGTTGATGGGTTTAGTTCTTGTTGTTTACCTTCGTGCTCCATCAGCTTGAGAATTTTTGTTCAAAATGTCGGTGAAACGGAGGGAAGGCCCAGTGACTCAGAAACTCAGAATCCTTGYGAATCTTTTCGAAACATAATAACAAACACTTATAGAATCTACTTATTGCTTGATAATTTCTTTATTGTAACAATGCTTCTTGGTAATCAATCTTCCTGTGGGTACCAGAAGCTCAAAAACAATTGTCATTACAGCAAAATAAGCTGTTTGACAGAGCGGATGTGGCAAAATTTTCATGTGCGCAACAAAAAACTTCAGCTCCSACAAATGCATGTTCCTTACAAATGTGGCAYCATTTAAAAGAGGAARTTAACAGGCTTTCCAACGGTAWACGACTTGTTCCCAAGAAGCATTGTTACAAMAAAGAAATAATCTAATTCCTTACTGTTTGTGCTTTAGTTCCCTCATGAATGCTTGATAGTTTCACTCACCATCACAGTCCGTATTTCTGTATAACTTCATCAACAAATTTATTCTTAGCTTTCTGACAACATATATTTCCATACATTATAAACAAACCAGCTATACACTCCCACKTCTTTGTTATTTTTAGGATTTCTACAATTTGCAGCCTGCAAGGCCTGGTGAAAAAAAAATGCCCTGATGCATCTCAGTAATCCAGGTAAAAAATCAAAAAGAAAAAAAATTTGTATAGGTC